GGGGGGAGACAGACTCAATGTAATGAATATGCACTATAAAACGTCGGGAACAGATAGCCTAAGAAGAGGAAACTGTTGGAGATAGTCATAGAGACGACGGCGCGGCCAGGTGGCTTTCCAAGCGACCACCCCGATCGTAAATTCATGGACATCAGAATCATAGATCTCTACATTTAGAGAAACATTTCTCTTGTGATTCATTGAACAAGTACGTTATAAGAATATAAGTTCTTTGAGCGCAGCTGATTAGGCTTACTTGGCTAATCTTATATCCTATAGAGGCCTGTCTAGTGTTTTACGGCATTCACATGTGTTGCGCATCAGGCCTAGATGATAGATCTAGGTCTAACTAAACATTTGGCCTACGAGCCTACGTGCAGTCACCCAAACACCAGTCAGAAATGTTCTCTCAAAATGCATTTCCAGTGACCTATCAAAAGACAGTTGAGTCCCCCCCCTATGCACCCACCCTCAACATTTCACCGACCAGCCATAGACCGAGACCTGTGTGTATGGAAAGTTGTGTGTGAAAACGCTGTCCATCTCTCTCTTAGTTCGGCGTGAGGGGCAGTCTCACCAAATATCCTGTTTTCTAGGCTTGTCATGCAAGCTGAGCAGGTTGTAAAGAAACTTTCCCCTTGTCAAGCTTTACCTGACGGCGTGTTTCGCGGATCAGAGCGTGCGTTTAGAGGGAGTGACCGTGCGTTTGTACGTCCTAATTATGTTATATGTAGTAAAAAAAAAACCCACCCCGTCAGATGACGAAAGCGTGCGTTTGAGCGGAGCGTGCTTTTGTATGGCGTGCGTTTAGGCGGAGACTACTGTATTTCAACACACAACCCCTATCACACAAAGCAATAACACCTGTCTTAGACGGCCACCTTAGACTAGAGAATCCATTACGTTTTGTCATAAATTGTGCATTGGCCCCCGCATTGTGGGCGAGCCATCATAATTCAATCATCTGTCGTTGTTGTTAGGTAGTCCCTCCAACCGATCATGTTGCGTAGGCCCCTCCCACTGTTGATAAATAGCTACCAATTTTCAGCTGGTGGTAAGGAACTCATACACAAATCGTAAGTGAGATGAGTGGTCACTGTTTACCCAGTCTGTAACAAAGTAACAATGGATGTCAACATGAACTTGTGACACAGTGGTGGCGACCCATGTGTATATTTTAACATGGCACTCGATCTTTCTCGTCTGATACATTTCGTTTTATTGTCACCCTTGTGCAAAATCAGCAACAAAATAAAAATTACAAAACAAAATACAAACCACCAAAAACAACAACAACAACAAAACAACAGTGCGGCCACTTTCAATTGGGACCTCAGATGGGAATGGTTTGTTTTCTTCATCTTGATCAGTCCTGCCTAAGACGGCCACCTGTTTTATACGGCCACTTTTCTCCTTGACAATGGGTGGCCATCTTACACTTACACAGGTTTGACTGTCTATATTTTATAGGGTGGAGGGTGACCTTATTTAGGCCACATATGGCCTAAATAAGCTAAACCCCCCTCCCTTACCTTATTTGGGCCACAGGTGGCCTAAATAAGCTAAACCCCCCTCCTTTACCTTATTTAGGCCACACCTGTGGCCTGAATAAGCTAAACCCCCCTCCCTTACCTTATTTAGGCCACACCTGTGGCTTAAATAAGCTAAACCCCCCTCCCTTACCTTATTTAGGCCACATATGTAGTCAAAATAACCAAACCAATGTAAAGCATTGTTTTCTTTACAAGTTACGTTATTATCTCTTTAAAACTCTTCACATCCATTTTCCTTCACAGCCGTATCGTACATGACATGTGATGTAGAATCAATTTAAGGTCCTTGGAAAGGTGACCAGAAAATAAAAAAATTATTTTATGATCTTCACTTGCACTTGCAATTTTTTGGGCAAATTAAAGTCTACCTAATTATATTTTTTCCCCTCATTTTTCTTCACTATAAATGACAACTGGCATGTATTATCAGTTATTATCAAGAAAGTGGATAGGCGGACTACGGGGTCTATCTAGCCAAAAGGATAGGTGGACCCCGGGGTCTACCTAACAAAATGTTAGGTTTTAGGATGTGAACCCCGGAGTCAGCGTAGTGAAATAAGTAGATCTAGGTTTAACTAAGGATCGGTGGACCCCGGGGTCAACATAATGAAATAAGTAGATCTAAGTTTATTTTATAATAGGACTGGCGGAGCCCGTGGTCAAAGTAGTGAAATTATAAGTAGATATAGGTTTAATTAAGGATTGGAGGACCACGGGGTCAATGTAGTGAAATCAGTAGATCTAAGTTTAATTAAGGATTGGTGGACCCTGGGGTCAATGTAGTGAAATAAGTACATGTAGATAGATCTAGGTTTAATTTTAAGGATTGGTGGACCCTGGAGTCAACGCAGTGAAATAGGTAGGTTTAAGGTGAACCCCAGGGTCTACCTAACGGAACACTAGTTAGGTTTTAGAATAGGTGGATCCTGCGGTCACCGTAGTAAAATAAGTAGGTTTAATCAAGGTGTCCCGGGGGTCCACCAATCCTTAATTAAACCTTCTTAATCCTCTATGGCCTTGGTGACTCCGGGTTCCACCAATCTTTAAAGAAACCTGCTTATTTCACTGCGGTGACCCCAGGGTTCACCTGTCCTAAAACCTAGTACCAATCCTTACTTAAACCAAACCTTATTTCACTACGGTGACTCCGGGGTCCACATCCTAAAACCTAGTATTTCGCTATGCAGACCCCGGAGTCCACCTATCCTCTACAGGACTATACTATTATTATCAATTTGCAATTTTCATTGATTAGCATTTTTGTTTAAATATAATATTGAATCAGAGTGCAGGGGAGACCGAGGCGCCCGGTTGATTCGGTGGTCGGCTTTTGTAGATCTATGCATTTTTTACGGAAAGCCGTATTACCTAACCCTATTACTAGATCTATTAGTGTTGTGAAAACTTCAACCTCTACAGCTCAGGCGTCAAAAGATGCTGGTAAATAATAATAGATCTACGTCCTGAAGTTTCATAATTTATTTTTATACAGAATAACACAGTACACAGTCAGTAGTTTTTATTTCATCGAGTTATAAAAATGGCCTTCGTATAAAAATTGCCTTGTTTTCAGAAGCAAGTTTTAATAGTTCTAGTTCTACCTAATCGATTTTCATGCGAATTCAACTATTTTGATGATCTTTCTTTTCCTTTTAAAAAGATGTAGATCTAGGCCTGTCGGATGTGGCAGTGCGAATAGCACTGAGTTGTTTAGATCTAGATCTAGATCTAGACCCATCAAAACACGAGGCTTCGTGGCCGATCACAAAAGTCTACGGGGCTTATCGAGGCCGATTCGCCCTGCCGCGAGCACGTTCACTAAACTGCCTACTAGATAGAATCTACTACCAAATATTCTCTACACGATCTTTGCTACTACTACTACTAGGCCTACTAGCCTACATGTACTACTACGAGACAGTACGAGAGGGTGTCACTCAGGCAAAGATAGTGTAACTTTGACTCAGCCACGTAGTATACACACTTTTTATACCCCAAATTTAACCCGAAAGTCCATTCGGAGGATTTGACCTTTTCACTTGACCAAAGTGTGCAAAAATGGTAGCCTAGCTTTTGCCCCTCCATGAAGGAAAAATCCGGCCCTCATTCAAACCATTGGAATTGAGCAAAATTTTGCGTTTTGTGCTTTGTTCTTTACAATATTCATTATGGTTATGATTTATAAGTTGTACACTGAGGCAAAACCATACTAAATGAGAAAGGGGCACCATTATGAAAGTGGAATGAACTCAGTTGCCTGAAAAGGGTAGTTTGAACATGTGAGGCCTAAATAAGCTAAACCCCCCTCCCTTACCTTATTTAGGCCACAGTCCACTGTGGCCTAAATAAGCTAAACCCCCCTCCCTTACCTTATTTAGGCCATATGTGGCCTAAATAAGCACTCCCTATTTTATATATATATAATTTTATATATATATATATATATATATATATATATATATATATATATATATATTACATCCCCATCAGCGCAATTTAGATCACTTGGAAGGTGGTCTTTGACTCTGTCAGAGCCACCCCAGGCTGAGAGGTATACAGTATCCCAGCAGAAAGACCGTGATGCTCGATAAAAGTTCTCCCTACTCAGGAGTTGAACTCAGGTCTCCCGTGTGCAATGGCAAAGTGCCAACCGTTATACCACAAACACCAGTCCCCATGAGTTCAGAAGAAAGATAATTCAAACAAACACAAAATACCTCAAGTAGCATTTTTAGTTTTTTACAGGGTGCAAAGACCGCTCCAAAGTTGCTCAAGATCAGCATGCTGTGGTTAGTTTACACGCAATTGAAACAGGTCTTCAACCCAAGACTAAACAACCAGCTCATGTCTAGGAACACAAACCAGTCAAATTTAAGGAATGAAATGTTTATTCAGGACAAGGCAAATGCAACACATGTCTAAATAATAACAGGCAATAACTTGAATAAGTACCGTTCACAAGTTGGGTCTAAAAATGATAAAATAAAAACTAAACTTTGTAGCATTATGTCATTTCCACTTTAAATATTTTTTTAAATAGCTTACCACTTACATGCACATTATGCAAGTTTTCCATAAAAGAAAAATGTAGATAATACTTGTGGCTGTAAAAAAAAAAATGATGCTGGGAAAAAATTTGACCCAGCAGACAGTATAGATCTATTGTGATTACAGTACTGACACATTTAAATGAACTTACTAGCGATGTAGGCCTACTCACGCAAATAAAAGACAAAAACAGAATAAAATATAATAATTTCACTTTTAAAAGCCTGGAGGACGTATTTTGCGCATCTTTAAAAAAATCTTTTTAAAAATCTGGTCACTACACATACATTTGTGTGTCACAATTGCAAAATGTAGTTAGCATAGATCAAGAGCAAGCATAAACTAGGTGAGCAAAGAAATTCTTCAAGCCAGGTATGATACATGTATATATATATAAGACAAAGTTGTCACATAGAAAAGAACCATTATAAAAAGGTAAATCAACCCCTTTAATTACACTAAAAACAACCAGGCCCACATTCATAAATACTGCTGTCAGTATTAACAGATCCGGCAGACACATGAACCTCTACCTCAGTACAGCAGCCACATAAAGGCAAGGTCAAAGAAAACTCTCTAAGGCACTTCAATACTCCACGTCACAAGATAAAGGGTGATAAAAAAAAACAACACGTTTTCAACTTTTTTCGTAAATATTTTCCTCCACACCGAAGCTTTCGTCTTCACATTTGAACACAATATTCCTTAATTCAAAAGGAATTTGACTGATATTCATTTTAGATGATTCCACTACATAATTCTGGAGTATAATGCGAAATAAAAAAAACAACCCATTTTTTGCTTTTGGCCCCTTTTATTACAGTACGCCCACCAGTACGCATTACCTCAAAATGTCGCAACAATTGCGTCATATTGCAAGCTACAGCAGTCTAACAGTACAGGCCTACGGAAGTTTGCAGACATTATTATTTTTCAAGTTCCTTTTGTTCATCCAAATCATGGTTCAGTTTAATAAGGAGCAGAAAGCATTTTGTATTGAACATTACCTCTCCACAAAATCACCATCCCTGACATTTCGTAAGTTCCGCACAAGGTACGGGAAGAATGCTAAAGTGCCATCAAGGCCTTCTTTGATGTATGGGTAAAAAAGTTTTCGTCAGTTTGGGTGTATAGAAGATCAAAACAAAAAATCTCCAGAAAAAGCGACCACTTCAGGTCAAAGGCGCACCATTCGAACCCCTCTAAACATCGTCAGGGTGCAGAACTCAGTCACTGAATCTAATGAGACATCTGTCCGCAGACGATGCCTGCAGCTAGGACTTTCATACACATCGACAGTCCGTATTCTTATAGTAGACCTTAACTTACGCCCATACCATATTCATGTTAGGCAAACGCTTTGCCAGACTGACTGGGGACAGAAGGGGGCAATGTGTCGGTGGTTGCTCGACCGCCTTGGAGAACGTGAGAGTTTCTTAGATGACATCTGGTTCAGTGATGAAGCGCATTTTCAACTTTCATGATATGTAAACACCAAAATGCTGTCTATTGGGCATCCCACCCACCTCCCTACTCTCTCCCGAAGCCACTTTAAGCACTCATGGTTTTGTGGGTCCTTTTTTTGAAGACACAGACGAACATGTTGCAACTGTGAACGCAGACCGATATATCGAGTTGCTGAAGAAATTCTGGATGGATCTGGGGAGACCCCGTCACTTGGATCGCCAAGGCCAGTGGTTCAAGCAAGATGGGGCCAATCCATACCTTTCTGTCAGATCAATGATATGGCTAGCTGAACACTTTGGAGATAATGTGATCAGTCGCAGAAGTGAACACATTTGGGCTCCGCATTTTCCTGACCTGAATCCTTTAGACTTTTTCTTGTGGGGCTATCTGAAGGACAGGACATTTCAAAACCAGTTTGAAAACATTGAAATTATGAAACAAGCAATCCATGATGAATGAGAAACATTCCACGGGAACTGTGTTTGGCCGTCATCGAGGATTTCAAACGACACGTTAAAATATGTCTGGAATCCAAAGGAGGACAGGTGGAGCATTTGTTTTAGAAATTCCAGAACAAAAATGTTAGTTCTTTACCTCCCTAAGAGATGTTCAATATTGTTTAATGTCACAAAGTTTGAACAATTATATGTTATAGAGAAAAAGAAGACAAAAATCAAATCAATCGGCAATCATCTCATGACTTTCTTTGCGAGAGTGTCTCCTTTTTAAATTGGCGTATTTTGCCTTTTATGGTTGTTTTTGTCTTTATGTATTTTCTGTTCTGAAAACAAGTTTCTTCTGTCTGAATTTTATGTCAAACAAATTTCTTTTGAATGAAGTTTTTCTGTTCCAAATTTCATCTTTCTAGAACAACATTTGTGCGAGATATTTAGAAAAAATGTTGTTTATTTTTTTTTGGGATCACCCTGTAAATACACTAAATTCTACTTAATCAGTAGTTCTTCCAGCACAGAATGGCACTACACTGTACAGAGTTTTATCATCCTAACAGTCAAACTTGTTCCAACGGACATCTGTCCAAGGCAAGCAACTGTATAAATGACCACTTCCCACCATTCGGGGTTTTTTAAAATATTATAATGACGCGGTTCACGATGTTCACCTGTCTAAGACAAACCCTTTTTCTCCTCGACAATGGGTGGCTAATTTGAATAGTTTTGAAAGTAAATCATTAACAGTCAGTGTCCTATTGTTTTTGTTGTCATTGATCCAGCAACAGCTGGGCTCTCGCTCTTCTATCCAATGCCAAGTAATGATCAGTGCAAGTTTGCTGCAGTTGCTGTAATGTTCCATAGAGTGTGTTATCAACGTTAGGTCTCGGAGGAAGAAGTACATCTCTAACAGTCAGTTAAATACTATGTTCCTTCAGTCACAACAACACAATATGTAAAACTGTTTAAATGCATGCACACACTATAATATATGTAAAACTCTTTAAATGCATGCCCCAGTGTATTCTTTGGTAGGAACAGTATTTCAATAACTTTCCGTGTTATTCATTATGGAATGATGAGATTTTGAAACACACAATGTTTCCTTTCTCAGATAACATGGACTTCATAATAAGAGAATCTTACTGTGCCGTGGAGAAATGACTCGATGAATTTGTAATACACCAAAAAATATCATTCAGGAGGACAAAACTCTTAATAATCATTACATACACATATATGAACATTGTTCCAAAGGACTCCGAATGTCGTCTTTGAGTACATACAAGAACCGCATTGTGTCATACAAGCACTACGTCTGCATCGTTAGCACTAAGCCACGAGAGCCCCACTTTACTCTCTGAAATGAAAGACATTGCAATGATTCTTACATATGAACAATGGCCTATTTACAAAACAATAATTCAATTATGGATAATCACTTGAGGAGCGGACAGTTTATGTGCTTAGCAATGGTTTACTATGTCATTGAGCATGTCAGACACCATCAGTGACAGTTCGTTACCTCAGAATTACAAAAGCCAATCTGCTCAGTATCTAGTTCAGAGAAATTAGGGGTCAAAGATTTTTAAGTTTCACATCATGTCAAGCTTTTTTTAATGTAATTCTTTGAATATCTTGATAACAACTCCAAATTCTCTTACGATTTTGATAGAGCAGATGAAACATCTGGTTTCTGACCTCATGGTCTTCGTAGCTCAAAACGGCCAAAAATGTCGGGACAGAACTTGGTAATTCTGAGGTAGTGAGTTGTCCAACTATTGCAACATAAAAAGGGCATCTGAATCACAGCTTGTCAACCAAAGCCACCTTTCAGAGGCTTAAACTTTTGTACTACCCACCTATATATATTTCCGAGAGGGGCATTAAATAACACCTGTTGTTACCCCGGCGATTCCTCACCTCCTACCAAAATTTCCAAACTGCCCACTTGTGGGCCATATCACCCAGGCTTGCAAGCTCTGACTTATACCCTTCTGAACCGCAAAGAATGAAGAAAGGAAGGTAAAGTGAGTAAGATGCTCGCAGTTATCAATCCCCGAATCCACGAGAATAAATGGGCACAGATATGAGCATAACACTGTTGGATCAGCCCATTTACAATTCTACAGTGCATTAGAACGAGAAATGTCCCCCCTTTTGGAATGCAAACTCTCAGAGATTCACAATCTTTAAAAAAAAAAAAAAAAGACATAAATTGGTGTCGCCTATTGTCAATGCTAATTTGTATCACACAACAAGCCATTCTTCACTAAGCTGCCAGGAAAAAGACATTCTTTCAGTGTCTTATGCAAAACGGTCGAGTCAGAGATTCTATAAGACAATTTTTTGCAATGTCTAATCATGAAACATAATACTCCACATAGTTTATAAAAATTGTAATAATAAAAATAATGATGATAATAATAATAACTAAAGTAATAATAATAATAATAATAATAATAATAACAATAAATAATAATAAGTGCATTTCCATAATTTGCAATGCTCAATGCATTTTGAAAGATGTAGATAAAGTATAGCCCTGGAACCCAATGAAATGCACTTTTTAAAAAGTTATGCAACTCCTCTAAATCATCAATCATCATCAATGCCTTTCACCCCTGGCAGGGTATAGGCCACATACAAGCTCCTTCCATTTATCTCTGTCCTGAGCCATCCTTCCAAGCTCGTTTCAAGTGAGCTTCATTTCTCTCATGTCCCTTTCCACGCATCTCCTCCATGTTTCCCGTGGCCTACCCCTGCCTCGTGCTCCTTGTGGGCTCCACTGCAGTGACTGTCTTGTGATGTTTCCGCTGGGCTTTCTTAAGGTGTGTCCCATCCATCGCCACCTTCTTAGTCCTATTTCTATTCTATTTCCTTTTGTCCTGTCCTTTCTCACAGCTCTTCATTTCTTATTTTATCCTGCCACTTAATTCTTAGAATACTCCTTATACATCTGTTGATGAAAGTAACTCCTCTAAATAATTATAATATATAGAAACGAACTGAATATGTGAGTTTTCATGTCACCTGGGAAATAAGTTTTACCAGAACTAGACACCTTGAGATAGGTAACATCACTTTGAAGATATGGATAAACTAAACATACTATTTCTATTCAATTCTGGCAGATTTTAACCCTTCTCAGACGTATCACCAACATATTGGCAACTTCCAGGGAACACACTTGGACCTATCGCCAATATATCAGCAATTTGAACAGGATCCAATATTTGTTTAATTATTTCCATTCTATTGCTTTTGTAAAATCAGTGAACAGCAACAATCAGTTACCATTCCAATGATATATAACTGCCACTACAATGTTTACTACACTGTTTTATTTCCACACCTCGAAATGATGCCTTGAGTCACAAATAATCACGGGGGCCCCAGTGGCTAAGTGAGTAGTGAGTTTTGACTCAAGCAATGTCAAGCAAGTGTCGGTGACACAGGGATCAGATGGGTGGTCACTGGAGTGTGTCCTTGAGCAAGACACGACAACCCTAGCTCAAATTACAGGGAGCTGCACAGTGGCGACCGACAGTGGCATTGTTTGTAAACTGTTCTGTATTTGTGTAATAGTGTGTATTTATGTATGTATTTATGCATGTATGTATTTATGTATGTACGTATTTATAATTATGTATTTATGTATGTATGTTTGCCATTGTAAAACAAAGTGCCCTTCTGGGACAAATAAAAGTGTAATTTATTATTATTATTATTATTATTAATCACATCCACGTTTTTAATGGATTCCACTGCTGAATTAAATTACCCCTTGAATGAGTTAAGAAAAAAAAGCCCAGTGACCTAATGGCTGCAAGAAAATGTGTAACAAATTTAAAGCATTCAGACAAAATGGAAATATGGTTATTCAGTATTAGAAAGCATAGGGACTTGAAAAGGAGAAAAAAATAAACTGCTCATTTGAAATGGCACTCTAAAAGTTTCTACAACCAAAATTTCAAATTTAAAAAAACTTCCACAGCGACGAAGTATAGAAGTATAACAATTTAAACACAAGCGCAAATAACTACCTCAAACTCGGCACATTTGCATCAGGATAAACTTCTCAATGCCAACTGATAACCTCTTTGAATTCAGAATGATAATACAGGACTGTCTCCTTCTGCTCCATGCTAGGAGGTCTGAAGGGGAGAAAAAAAACACCCTTCGATTTTTGTGCCGGGCAGTCATCAAAGTAGCTCTGATGATGGGGATGATGTTTCTGTACCATCTCCCTCTTCGCTCTCCTGTGGCAAAATAACAAAATGAAAATGATTTAAAAAACATAGTTTAGTTCTAGTAAGAATCTTCCGGCACTTGCAGCACAAATAAGTCATATAAGTGCTGAAGATTAGAGGTGTTACTAGAGAGTACCATGCAAAGACATAACTCTTCAACAGTGGATGGCTGTCTTGGACAATTTAGACTGTACTTTACCCCACTTCAAAAGTACAAACAAATCTTGCTTACCACTACACACAAACCACTTCTCCAACAACCTGCTTTGGCCCAAGATCAAGTTCGTTAAACTGCTGAAAACAGCAATCCTGGAATACACAGTCACAGGTCAGAAAAACAAACAGTCCGTAGTGTGCACTTGGGCAAGGAACCAATAGTTCAGCAGAGAGCAGGTCAGAAGACAAATATCAAAGATTCTAAAAATTATTATTGTAGATGTTCTACATCCCCTTGGCACAACTTAGATCATTTAGAAGGCGGGTTGCTACTCTCCTGTATGTCAACACCGAACCAGGCTGAGACAGATACAACATCCTAGCAGTTAGACGAAGAAACATAAAGAAAAAAAAAATGTTTAAATTCCTCACTTGACAATTGAACTCACATCTCCTCCTTTTTAAAACAAACAGCCTCATCAATAAACTACAGACACCAGTGTAATCAAACTAAAAGCCAAATGTAGACAAACAATTGTTTGTGTTAGTACAGGTTCTACGTAACTCGCAACTGCATAAGGTCATACGAGCGCCAAGGGGTGGATATCGACAGAGAAGTCTTTACAGGGAATCAGACTTACTCTGCTCACCTCTCTAGCTTCAACACCACAAAGTCTGCTTCAACTATTAAGGCACCCCGGAAATAGCGGGTCACACGAGTGTGACAAAACAAACAAAAGAAGAAGAGGAAAAATGACTATAGTAAAGACTAGGAAAGAAAAAGCAGCAGTTCCCTGTTGCAGTTCAGGCAGTTATGAGCATGACATCGATGAATCAGCTCATTAACAATTACCATTATACTGTGCATAAGAACAAGTTCATGTCCCCCCTTTGGGAATGGCCTAAAGACACCTCAGTCAGTAGGACCGCCCCGGAGGGGGGGGGGGTTACTCCCCTGTATGTCAACACCAAACCAGACTGAGACAGACATAACATCCTTGCAGTTAGATGAAGAAAACCAAGGGAAAAAAAAAAAAGAAAAAAGTCCTCACTTGAGAATTTAACTCATGTCTCTTGCATTTTACAACAAAGTGACTAATCAATAAACCACAGACACCAGTGTAATCAAACTAAAGGCCAAAAGCAGACAACAATTACAAAAATGTTATATCTTCTTACCTGTTTAAGCCCCTGCGACTGTTGACATATGGGCAGTCCTGAAGCTGGAAAGACTTTGAGTAGCAGAGGTAAACCTGCTCTATGTAGTGCTGTTTACTCTGGAAACAATGTCAATGGGAAACAGTAAGTGTGATAGGAGTTTTTTCATAGACAAGTACCAGAGCTTCAGCAGCTATCTACATTATATACAGAACTCAGAATCAAAGTAGAAATTCTGACACGCTACAGTGATCCTTCCTTCATAAGTTATCATGGTAGGTTCCGATTCATTTCAGAAGTTGTTGCCAGATCATATCAGTGATGTCAAAACATTGTGGCCGTTGATGTTGTCTCCAGCTGTTGGGGCGTGATGTTCATTCTTTTCCTTCGCTGTTGTTGTCTTCTTCTTCATTTTCTTCTCTTCTTCTTCTTTTTCTTCCCCTTCCTCCTCACCCCCCCCCCCTCCCCAATAAGACCACAGTCATTGCAGCTTGACTCAGAAAAAGTTCCTTAAAAAGATAACAACATGTCATAAGCCTATAAAAAAAATTCCCTATACCCTAAAGAAAAATATGATGACAAGAATGAAGAGACATATCGCTACTTCAGAATTACAAAGTTCTATCTAACATTTTTAGCAGTTTTGAGTTACTAAGACCATGAGACCAGAAACCAAATGCTCTGTCTGCTCTAACAAAATCATGAATTATTCGGAGTCGTTATCAAGATATTCAAAGGATTGCATTTGAAAAAGCTTTATATATGTTGTTAAACTCAAAATTTTTTAACGGCAAATTTCTCAAAACTAGGCACTGAGCAGATAGAACTTTGTAATTGTAAGGCAGCGATATTATTACAAGACAGAAAAACTAACCGCTTCATCGTACACACAGCATATGTTTGGAATGGTACCCAGCTCAGCTTTGATCGCATCAAAGAACTCTTGAGGCTGAAAATTAGGAGAAAGAAAATCATAATGATGTACTTGAGTAAACTGCAGAAGGGGAAAAAATGGAAATGCATGTTTGGACCATTCAGGTGTGACATTAACAATGACAACACTCATCTTACAGCTAGATGTGCTCACTGGCTGTGTATGACAATATTTTTAAAAAACTTTCTTGACATAGGTTTAACTCTCCCTCCCTCCCTCCCTCCCCCTCTCTCTCTCTTCTCTAAGTTTCAAGAAAAATTCATTTCTGTGGCACTCTACATGTCAAGATTACAAACTCGAATAAAGGTAGAGAAACAGGCGACTTTTGATCAGTCACTTTGGGATCTACCAATATCCTTTTATCCTCTTTCATGAATGACAGATTTCAGAAGGTAAATAGCTATAGTAATCTCCCTCATTTAAAGCTAGCTATCTTCACAAATAATTTGCAAGCACCTGCACTTTCCATATTCAGTTACTAAATATTAAACCAACTGCACTGGTGATATTTCTGCATTTTTCTCCTTACGCTTTCACCATGCACAAAAATGGCTTCATCGAAAAGGATTCATGAATTCTTTCATTTAGTATGTAAAAAATTGTACACCTCCACACTCTTCTACCTTTGACCATTTTTGTAGGAGGGTTTCCAAGTTTGAATTGACATGACAGATGCTAATATGTCACAACGCGATGGAATCAGGCGCTCATCAATTTTTGGGTATATAAAGTTATCAATATCATCTTACAGCTGGTTCATTTGTCTTGGACTTGGTGAAAAAAAATGCTGATTTATCTTAAATAGAATTCGAGGTGTTTGTTTTTGAAAGAGTTGGGTGTCACCTGGAATGAAAGGTAAAATAAGTGAGAAAATGGCCGCTAAAGTTTGGTGACTTCCAAAGTTTGAGTGTCCTTGAAAACTAGAAATTTATATTTTTCATGCCATTAACAAACAGTTTTCGACAACATCCGCACAGAAATGCGTGTTTAAAGGGACATAAAAGGTGTTGAGCCACAAAAAGAAACTGGAAGAAAATTGCTCAACGCCCAGAAAAATGCCTGTTTCTTTGATTTCATTGTTTTGACGAGCACCCGATTTCATCATGATACCTCACATAATATATTATATGTTCAGTGAAACAACGAGTACTTTTGTAACAACAAGAGATGTATGTAGCTTTTAAAACCCTGTTTACTGATTGCAAAAAAATCTAATACTTTCATAGTTATGACCACTTTCATTTTTTAAATACTTTTCAGACAGCCATTGCATAAAGACATGGTTTTTATTTCTTCCTACTTACCCTATGCTTGACTTTCAATGAAGGCAGGATGCCATGCTTTGCCAGAATCCTAGGGACAGAAACAGTTAAGAAAAAATTTTTCAAGCAACAAGTGTTTTTTAGTATAATTTGTGCAAACAAATCCAAATCCATTCTCCATCTTTACTTTATCATCACTGCAACATATTCATCATTGCCCATCTCCCCCTGGGTCGGGGTATAGGCCACGAACAAACACTTTCCACCTTTCCCTATTCCAGGCTAGCCTTTTGATGATAATCCATGTCTTCCCACTTTTCCGTCTATCAATTTTTGTGACTCTTCCCCAGGTTCCACATGGTTTTCCCCTTGATCTTTTACCATGTGGGTTCCAATCCAGCACTTTCCTTGTCATGCAGCTCCCTGACTTTCTGAGAGTATGTCCAATCCATCACCACCGCCTTCTTCCCACCTAAAATAAACAACATGGCAAAAGACAACAGCATCTGTGATGTAAAAATCGAACAGCTCTGGCAGTGTCCTACATGAACCCGAGTCTGTGGAGGCTGCTTGAAACGTCTCCAGCCAATCATGAGGAAACAGTTTCAGGCTCACAAATACATCAATCATATATAATAACTGTGTGTGTGTGTGCATCTGTGTGTGTGTGTGTGTGTGTGTGTGTGTGTGTGTGTGTGTGTGTGTGTGTGTGTGTGTGTGTGTGTGTGTGTGTGTGTGTGTGTGTGTGTGTGTGTGTGTGTGTGTGTGTGTGTGTGTGTGTGTGTGTGTGTGTGTGTGTGCGCGCGTATGTGTGCTTTGACGAGAGCATGGAAGTGTACAAATTTACCGTGCCTCAGTAAAATGTTTAAGTGCACTTGGGGAACACAACCAGAAATACATGTGCTCAGCAGTAGGCCAAATTTGATAAAAGTTACAACTTGTGAGGGCTAAAAAACAGATGGCCAAGAGGATGGAACTTTTTTGTATGTTTTTTTTAGGCTTTTGTCCCATTCCAATGGGTGAATAAGAATCATAACGGCCTGGTCGTACCTCAAATGGTATAACTATGTCACCCGTTCTTCAGGCCTTGTTAAAACCATTTTACAAGGCACTGTGCAGGGAGGACGAAAGAGAGGCTGACAGCAGAAGAGATGGGAGGATAACATCCGAGAATGGACAGCCATGGAGCTACGGGACACACTGAGGAAGGCAAAGAGCCAAGTGGAGAGAAGATCAGAAGTGACCTAACGGATGACAAATTAACAGGAGCAGAAAGAAAGAAAGAAAGAAACTTTTTCATAAGAGTTTTACGGCACTTGCAACACAATAAAGTCATATAAGTGCCGAAGATTAGAGGTATTACAAGAGAGTAACATACACAAACTAGAAGGAGGGGAGATAAGGACGACAGATGTTCAGAGATGCCAACCACAGAAAACCGAAATGAGTATTGGAAAATATGAAAATGTGTATTTTCAGGGGGGAAAAGTGTATTCCCCATGACCGACCGACCAACTAGTAAAATGTTCACGGTGTCCAGCAATATTTCCTCCAAAAAAATTACTAGCAGACCAGCTCGACAAAGGGAGCACACACGCGTACAATATACATGTATCCAGTCAACAACATGTTAGTGATCAGTGTCGTACTGGGGTCTTGTTTGACTTAAGTACTTCAGTCTATTATATTTTCGTCTCATTATTATATAAAAAAATTATTCCTGCTTTGAGCGTTCGGAAGGGCCTAGAACAAGAATTTCGACTATCAAGAACCAGTCTGGGTGTCAAGATTCATTTTATGAACTGACAAGACTAAAATTATTGCTAAAACTCAGAGAAGAGCAATAACTTGAATGGCTCAAGTAGACCCACGAAGTGTGAGAGTTGTAACAACTGTGGGAGGGCAAGATGCAGTAACACTGAAAATCTGCCAGTCTTGAAACAGAAAGCTACAACATACACTGTAGGTATGTATAATTTAGTATCACCCATCCAATGAAATGCGAACACTTTATTTCAATAACACAGACTTGCAAAGTATGAAGGGTCCCGATTCAGCACACGGCCTGCACCAATGCACGCTTTGCAGAGAGCTCTAATCAAAATACTGAAATAGCTTCCAAGTTTTTGTCCTTTGGCGTTGCCTTCACCCCCCCCCTAGTGTATCTTAAAAAAAATAAATAATAATCCCCTCCCCTATTCCGTAGTCCTATACTTCGCCACGCTGTTACTCCCACCAAAGACGGTCTTTGCTCACACGATGCCGTATTTTTATGATGCAAATGCGCGCAGGGTCACTGACCGGTCACGATGGCGAGCCAGACAATCTAAACATCGGACGACGCTTGTATTTTCTTTCTTTTTTTTTTCCTACAAGTGACAGCACAGAGATGAGTCGGAGTATTGATTAAATTTTATTTGCACGGCGACACAGCGTTTACACTGCACAACCTGCATGTCACAAATGTTGCGTTATCAGACTACCGCTGGCAAACTTCTGGGTGGTAACGAAGGCGAAAGTAGATCTTGATTTTCCCGATTGAGCCTCGGAGTCACATACACTTCCGCCTGCCGTCTGAAAGTGAAACGTAATCTCAGACGTGGAAAAGCCGAGCGAACATAATATCACAATCGCGACCGGCAATATTGAACTTACTGACCTTATCACACTTGGTTTTCAAATATTCCAGTTCAGCCATACTGAAGATATTTTGACAAAAGATGGTACTTGAGATAAATTAGCATAACTTGCCCAAGCTGAATCTCGTATTTTTCGCATTCCAGGATGCGTATTTTTTCATGAAAAGTCGTATTCGCGTATTTTCGGCAAAAAATCGTACTAAAATACGTAAAATTGTACTGGTTAGCATCTCTGGGTGTTTGATAGGAAAGAAGGAGCAAATCACATCAGAGCACCCTCCAACCACCCACAAAGAAAGAAAGAATGGGTAAAGTACATGCAAATCATAACTTAAACCTTACCCAGATATGTTGAGTGGTTTCTGCAGCGTAAGAGTGGAGTTGAAGTAGTTAAATTCTCCATTCAAAGCCGGTACACTTGTGGCACAGGTTCCATGTTTTTCCCATTCATGAGCCCTGTGGAAAGTCATTCACTCTTTTTCTTTTTTCATTCCTAGAACAATCCCCCCCCCTCTCCCCCCCCCCCCCCCACAAACAAAAAAACCTAACTCTCTTACTGTTGACTACATTTTTATTCCTAAAACAATCCCACTCCTACCAAGAAAATAAAAGACTAAACTCTCTTACCGCTCAACAGACAAAGGAGTCACATATGACAATCTATAGAAAAATGACAGTAACTTCATTTATCAAAGCAAACAAGAGAACCTGTGCACTGTGATTTGTAAGGATGGACAAAGACATACACATAGGCAAAACTTAAACTATTAATAAATGGAAAGCTACGATTCGTGAGAGTGATACTGATTCCTCTGGTACCAAAACAGTACCAACTGTTTCCTTTCATGTTTCAGAGTGTTCTTGCTTCTGCTGGGGTAATAATAGTTATGAAGCACATAGAGAATGCTATAGAGCATGGATAGGCACTATAGAAATGCAGTATAATCATTACCATTACTATTATTATTATGATTATTGAACATGGAACAATTATGTTATTGCATCCACATATACATTAAAATATCATCCATCATCATCACATGCATTCTCTTGATCTCATTTATAATATATCTCTCTGTCCGCTTGAAAATGGGAGCATGAGTGAGTGTGTGCAGGTATATGTGCATGAGTGCGGGTATTAAACAGTGCTTCCACCAGCTGAAGCTGAAAAGTAAGGAAAATTCTGCTGGGGGACTGGGGGCCGCATAGGCCCACAGCAGGGTCCAGGGACAGAGTCCCGGTGAGGGTAAGGGGACGGAGCCCCGGAAGAAATTGAAATTTAGAGCTTCTAGAAGGTTAAAAATGGTATTCGGGACCCTGTTTGAAGAGATTGCCTACAACCCATAACATTTATTTGTTCGCCAACATTTTGTCTTGTTTGATATTTTCACCTACATATCTTTCCATTCCTGGCAATGTTTAAAAGCAGGTTCCCCTTCCATTGCTACTATAATTCAATTAATTTGTCATCGCACGATTGATAGAAGGCAAATCTGGGAATAATGAATAGATATGCACCTTCACAACACAGTTACCCAGCGTATACCTTAATTTTCACTTCTGAATGTTGCATGTCACAACCTCGGAACACCACTTTGAATTATTCTTGATTTTAGTAGTTGTAGCATAATTTATTTCATCGCGGCCCTTATCGCGTTCTCGTGCTGTAGAATCTTCGCATTGATAATTTCTCCAGATCTAGACAATAAATTTGCAAGCAAGTTTCTTTCTGACAGTAATTTTCTGTCTAGGATCACAAGTCAATTTACTTGATCAACGCACATATTTTCCAGCCGCGGCAATAGTCCGAAGATAGACAGACGGAATGAGTGAATGATAGAAAGGAGGAAATTGGCACAAAAAGTTCGCCAGATTTGTCAATCTGCAGGTAAAAATGTACTGCCGACCAACCCGCAATGAACGCATGGGGCATAGCGGATTAATGGCCAATTGCAGGAAATGTGCAATCTGGCAGGTCTCTATAACATTAACTTATTGCCAAGAGAATTACCGTAAATATCTGGGCTTATACAAGACGATACGACGGCGAGAACGGATCTTTTGCTACGCAATTTCAGTAGACATCTAGTTCTACGCTGTCGCAGTTTGTTTTTTTACGGAGGGAGTTGATCATGATGGAGGAAAAAGTACGGAACAGGCAGAAAGTACGGATTTCCATAAAAATACGGAAGAGTGGAAGCACTGATTAAACATACTGATGAAGCATAAGCATGTGAATATGCCCATACACATAGGCACATATACATAAAACATACACACAAATTCAAGGAAAACACATGCTCTTGGTCTGACCATTCTGAGATTATCATGATCACAACTCTCACCATAAAAAAGTTGTATCACCACTTGTGTTGTAATAAGGCCACTGCGTATTCAGTTGAGTTGACAAGCCCTGTTAAATATAGTGCAAACCAGAAAAATGAGAGTGAGGAAAAAGATTTTTGACTTAATCTGGAGAAAAACCCCAACCTTACACAACTTGATGGAATCGAGCATCATACAATTGCTCAAGGCAGGAAAAAGTGAAGCTAATACTGACCAACAGATATCATACATATACTGGAAAAACATTATTCTATTCTAGAGGCAAATTCATGGTTCAAGCCCCTAAGAATAAATAACTGTCATTAATTAAGTGTTGCCATATGAAAAAAATCCAGGTGAAGCATTATTTTGGTGCACAACCAAGCTCCATTCCTATACTACTATCACAGCATGTATCAACTCAGTGCAGCCATTCATTTAATTAGATTTAAATGTATCATACTCTATGCTTCCATCCATTTTTTAAAATGTATCACAATATCACTGTGGGCCCAAGGAGCACCTAGGTGTCATAGAAAAATGTTTTGCTTACTTTTATCTTGTTGAACTCAAACTTGGCAGAAGTGTTGCAAAACTGAGGAGGTTCCCCTTCTGATGATGGCCTGCAGACAAATGTGAGACAAAGTGATGAAATCAGGTGCTCGTCAAAATAATCAAAGTGAAGAAAGTGGCATTTTCCCGCATGTTTGTGAATTTTATCTCATGTTTGTTTTTTGGCTCAACATATTTCACGCTCATTAAAGAACACATTTCTGTATGGATTTTACTGAAAAACGTTGATTAAAGGCACAAAGAATGTAATTTTTCAGTTTCCATGGACTCTCAAGCTACGGAAATAACTCACCTTTGGCGGCCATTTTCTCAATAATTTTACCTCTGAAACCAGGTGACCCCCCACTCCTTCATTCGCAAATATCTCGACTTGTATTCAAGATAAATGGGTATTTATTTCATCAAAATGAAGACAAAGGAACAAGCTTTAAGATGATACCAAAAACTCCACATGCCCAAAAATTGACAAGAGCCCGATTCCACCACGTCGTGACACAAATAGTGAAACAAAACGAAGCTCATCATAGCAATATTTGGTATCATTAGGAAGTTAAAATACTATGATTGAGTACAGAAATAAGGAAATTTATCAGAGAAGAGCAAAACTCACAAATCATAATTTTGGTCAGAAATTACACGCTGTAAACATTTTAATCATTCAAACATTGTCAACTGATCACATTCAGGCTCTGGCCACTGTTGCAAGGTCAGTAACAAAATTTAATCAACACATGGATGATCAGGGTTTGAAACTATTTTTGCTCACTCTGCCTTAAGTATTTTTTTAATGTCCAGTCTTAGGAGCAAGCCCCTGCCTTTTGAAATAACGTATCCCGAGTCCAGTTGGCTGAGCCACTTGAGCAGATCTTATACTGTATAATACCCCACTCCAGTTGACTGTCCAGCCTGACTCTTCCCATTAAAATACAGAAAAATGACAACTTTTAAACTCCATCCCTGCGAAGACCACATATCAGTGCCCACAGCCATCTGAAGTGATTGGGTCCCTCAAGCAAAATTTATAAATCAATAAACAATAAGTGGGACATTTTGTTTCTTTTGCAAGATCATTGTTAAAAATTTGGCATTATTTGGCACAAAAAAGGATAAGCTATGATAGTTACCACAGGCCATGGATGGTCCATCCAGTCACAGCCTTTGGAATGCCGCTGCAATGCTGAAAGAAAAATAAAAAGATTTTTTTTTTTTAATCAGAGATTACAACCCAATGTGACATCAACGAAAAAGAAAGCATAGTTAAGATAATGTCTTGCAAGGATATAAATCACAAATAATATATGTATCTAAGAACGACAAAATACATCTCTCGTATCGTAATCTCAGTAAACATAAGAAAGCTGAGAACAAAGTGTGGGTGACCCCTAACATATGGCAGTCTGTGTTTTAATTCTTGAATATAAGCTTGTTCTCTTTCGTCTGTTCACATTTTATAATCAAGCTCATTTATTCAATTACCAAAACACGTGTAACTTTGCACAGGCCCCTAGCCCTTCCCTTAGGTCAGTAACATAACATTTTTTTAAAATCTAGATCTGGTAAAATAAGGTTTCTTTATTTAGGTCTTTTATTAAACACTACCCTCTGGACGCAAGCACAGGGTCACTACAATACAATATGATTTACAGTAATCCAGCCTACACTCTGCCCCGTATTTCAGTGTCAGCTTGTTGATTTCATTCCAGACTGTGTGGACATGTGCTAGAGAGTCTCAAAAAGTGCTTACTCATCTGTTGAACTATATTTTGTAGGAGTGCATTAAAACGTGGCGTTATTGAAAATTGGCCAACTTTTTGATGTTGTAGGGAAGTGCTGTAAAATTATCTATCATCTTTTGAACAGCTTAAGGCTTACATCAACAACAACGCTTTGAAACTTTAGCTTGTTGTGATTTTCATAATGGGCTTCTAGTTCTAGATTCTGTTGGTGATCCTACTTTTAGCACAAGCAAATGCATTAATACCTGAGAACACCGAGCGATTTGTTTTATCTTGTTTTAACTGTGGACAGTCGAGAATGAACAAGCTAAAGGGTAATTCAATAAATGAAGCTGCAGCGAGCACCTAGCACATCTCTGTAATTGGCCCAAATAGAGATGACATATTTCCGCCACCTATTTTTGTTGTCTTCCGGGGTTCCCCTCAAAAACTCTTGGGTTTCCCTCGTCAGTAACTTTTACTGTTGACTAGATTCTAGATCTCGCCGTGTTTGTTTTTTTTGGTGGAGTATTAATTTATGTTCCCTTTTATAAACAACCTCAGCCATTCTCGTTCCATAAATTAAATTTACCTTCTCCTCAAAGTTGTACACACACACACACAAGCCCGTCCGTGCCTACACACACACATACACACACACACACAAGCGTATGCACATACACACACACACACACACTCACACAAGCCTACGCGCACACACAGCCCGAACAGTCGGCGATGAAACTATTGAAACCTAGATCTAGAGTGCGCGAAGCGGCTACGGTGAGATCTCGTCAACTGGCGAGGGAAGCCCCGGAAGACGATAAGAATAGATGGCTGAAATATGTCATCAATATTTGGGCCAATCACAGAGATGTGCTAGGTGCTCGCTGCAGCTTCATATTAATTCAACGTTGCACTAATAATTTTAAAAGCCATATTTGCTCATCGTGAATTTCCTGCAATACTTTAGAAGAACAAAACTGAAATACCCCATTGATCACAATTAACAAAGGTAAAGGACTGGAGGACACGTTAAATTTTACTTTACAGAGTTCTTTCAGCCATAGAAGATATATTTTTTAAAGGATTTCACAGGCACATGTGGCAAGAGAGATGACTGAATGGCAATCTTGACAGTTTGAAATTTGATGATAATATGGGCTCATCATGCTGCATATGATTTTCCCATCCTCATTGTGTGCTTTTCACTTCTTGCACTTGACCCCTACAAATGTAAAGTTTCCTTATCTCCAAAATGTCACAAACCTTTCGCCTATTGCCATTTGGCAAAGTCAGAGTAACTTTCAGAAAATGAATAACAGCTGTCTCAAGCTTGAGTGACAGTCTGCTCAATGTTATTCTAATTTAACAAGGCTCAATTGAGGAAGTAGAATTGACCCCAAAATCTCAAATTGAAACACAGGGTCAAAACATTGCCAGACTTATTTACTAAGGCATATGCGGGAAATTTCCACAAAGCCATACTTGACTGAAAATAAGAACAGTCAATAAGTAAGAATAATTTTGTTGAGAAAGGAGGTAATAATATACTCACTTCTTTTCCAAAGTAAATGTAACATGATGTTGCTGGCCAGAACTGGGCAAGTACAAGATAGTCAAAGGACTCGTTCTTGTGTCTGTTTTCTTTCAGATATGCAGCGCATTCACTGAGGAAAGCAACAGATGAAAACAAAATTATAAAGAGAAAAAAATGTAATACTAAAGTACTGTGTTGCTTCTTTTTACTTACTTGTGATGGGTTAACTCTATAGCTTTGAAAATATTAGTAAAATTTATAAATATTTTAATATATTCCCACACCAAAAAACTTCTTCACCATCATATCATGCATAGGTACCAAAGTCACTCAAAGTCAAAGTATTTGTTTTATTCTGAAAATATTTGTTTCAAACTAGATTGCTGTCAACCTTGACTAGTCTCACTTAAGACTTAGAGGAAAGGAACACCCCCACAACAAAACCTTTCACGTTGGCTCAGCTGACTGGATTAGCTAAACAAACTGATGATTATCTTCACAGGTTGGCAAAGTGCTGTTAAGTGGGTTTGTTAATTTTGGGAATTCTAATAAAATTCTTCAATAAGTGGGCTCCAAGAAAATATGTGGGTTTAGGACCATTGCCAACAATAACGAACAAATTATGACAAGAAATTAAAATTTACATTTTATGTATTTTTTACCTAAAACAGCTTGGAAAAAATATAATAAATGAGTTTAAAACCCAAATCATACTGCTAAAAAGAAGAATATCTCACCAAAGTTTATCTGTCATAAAATCAAGTACAATAATTAACAACATGTTTAGGATGGTCACTCTAATGAAATATCTTAAAGAGTCAGATTACTTACCAGGCACACAGAAGAAGAAGAAAGAGTTTTCCATCCATAGTGAGAACTTGATAGAATCAGTGTGTCGTCTCAGTATCAACAAGCCTACACAGACAGAAGCTGATAATATTACTCAGTTCTAGGAAACAACCAGGAAGAACAACATACAAAATGGAACACATGAAGCTACAGCGAGCACCTAGCACATCTCTGTGAATGGCCCAAGTATAGATGACATATTTCCGCCATTTATTTTTGTCGTCTTCCGGAGTTTCCCCCAATATTCTTGGGTTTCCCTCGTCGGTAACTGTAGACTAGATCTCGCCGTGTTTGGTTTTTCTTTTTGTTTTATATTAATTTGTGTTATCTTTTAAAAACAATCTTAGCCTTTCTCGTTTTTACTTTCTCCTCAAAGTTGTACACACACACACGCACACGAATACACACACACACACAAGCCCATACGCACATACCCACACACACAGCCCAAGCAGTCAGAGATGAAATTTAGTGACGTAGCCCAAGGCGCAGGCCCGCCACGGTGAAACCTAGTCTACTGGCGAGAGAGGCCCCAGAAGACGACAAGAATAGATGGCGGAAATACGTCATTTATATTTGGGCCAATCACAGAGGTGTGCTAGGTGCTCGCCATAGCTTAATGTAAATGGAACCCAAGAGATCACACTCACATTTTCAAACATTTTTCTTAAATTTTGATCGTACTTTGTTATAATATGTGTGAATTTGTTCAAGGCTAGGTGGTGTTCAGGGAAACCTCTACTCTAGGTCAGATTTCTTAGCAAAATAGAAAGATAAAAGGTTCAGGCGACTAGACTGCTGTGGCTGATGAAACAAATTCTGGCACAGAAAAAATTTGCTATATTTTGTACCCATTCAAAAGCTTCTCATTTCCAATTTTGTGAGCAGTTTGCAGGCTTCTTGCTTGGATTCAGCATTTCTTACTCGTGGTCTAAAGGTTAAGGTGTTCGCCTCTCGCTCAATAGGTCCCGGTTTGAATCTGGATAGCACATCCTTTCCTGCTCTCTAACAATGTTCTGTCTCCTCCTTTCATCTCCACCTTGTGCCCTCACCCCCTCACCTCCTTTTCCCTCTCCTCTGGGCTCCTGACTCTCTTTTCTGCTGCTACTCCTTGGCTCCTTCTTACAGATGTCTTTCAGTCACACCCCTGATCTTATGGTAGGTAAGATCTACACCTAGCCTTTTTGAATAAAGGTAAAAAATCTCAGAGGTCCCGTATGCAAGTTGCGCACGTTTAAGATCACTTGGTGGTCCAAAATCAATAAGCAAGCTTCGGCCACCACCCAGGCAAAATTACAAAATTTCCTACCAACTGAAAATGTTTAATCTGTCCCGCACGCTCATTCATTAGTCTCATGACGACCTTATGCAGATGTGAGCGCCGTAAAACACACTTAACAAAAAAAAAAACCCTCATCTGACTTGCCCACTGTGACTGCCGCTCTCAAACTGGGTCTGTCATTGTGCAGTGCAACTTTTAATTGCTCATTTTTATTCGTTTCACAATCCCCCTCCCCCCAACCCATCACAAAAAACCCCCCCAATAACAAATGTATACGGAAGTATAAAAGCATAAATAAGGCAAGGAAGGTGTGTGTGTGTGGGGGGGGGGGGGGGAGCCCCCTGAACCCTATTTTAAAAACATCAATTCAACTTCAACAGTCAGGAAGACGGGTCCTCAATCAAGACTCCATGGCAAAAAATTATACCGCCTCCTATATTATATATCAGGCCTACTAGATCTACCTATAGTGCGGTCAAAAATTCGTGGCCCGACTTATTGTGAAATATCTCCTCAACCATCGAACATAGGTTCTCCAATTTTTGCACATCATGATTTGTATCAATTTGTCTTAACAGATCAACATTTTTGTAAACACCTGCTAGCTGTATTCTAGAAAATTCCTTACTAATAAAAAATCCAAGTAGGTGGTTTCTACAGATACTAAACTTAAACGTCTACAGATGGGGCAATATTGCTTTTAATAGCAAGTCCATCATGTTTTTCTAACCGGGACAATGCTCATAGAACGCATGCTTTGATAACCATTAGTGCACAAAATGTGTTCACTATAAAAATAGGGAGGAATTCCGCAGAGGGCCGGCACTTACCGTGATAAGGTCAACTGAGCAAACTATTAAAGAGTTGGTGCTCTTAGAGAATTCAATTGAGAACTTATATTTTGGTAAATTTGACAACTCTAGAGGCGAGATAACTTTTAGAGCAAAGCACATGAGACAACATTTTTGCAAAACACTGTCAAACCAAACTTTTTTTGTATAACATACCCCCTCAAAATATCCCCTCTTTAGTGTGTTGAGGAAAAGTTGGGCCACAAATTTTTGACAGCACTATAAGTTAGAATCAAACATAATAAATCTCATAATAAATAAGGTAAGATTGAAAAATAGCCCTACCGGACCTATGAATTAGGATACTTTTGCCTATCTCGACAACTTTAGGCTTTAAGAATTCATGATTTTCCCCAATTTTTTATCTCTCTCAATGAAGAATCTCGGACTGGTGATCACCCCCCCCCCCCCCCCAATTTCATTTACAATTCAGAAATCAATAATTTAATAAGTACGGCTAGCCTGATAGTCGTCTAGCCGTATTTACGGCTAACCAAGAAGTCTCTAGCCTGCCAGTCTAGCCGTACTTATCTTAGGCCCTATTAACATAGAAAACAGGTCTCATTAGTAGGCTAATTATTCAGGTTTAAAATAAATACATGCACTGACATTAAGACACTTGGCTTGGTCATATATACAAATACTTTAGGTACTACAAACTCAAAATACAATTCAGTAGCCGCTCAGTAGGCTTTTTATTTTTTGGTCAGTCTAGCCATCATATTAAAAATAAGTACGGCTAAGTACAGCTAGACAGCTGGGCTAGCCGTACTTCTAGCAGTCTAGCCGTCATAAAAGTACGGCTAGCCTCTTCTTAAATATACGAATACGAGTGGTCCGATATTCCTTCAATCTTCTCTATTTTAAAAAAATGAATATCTAGATTAGATATAGATATCTAGAGTCTATATAATGGCCACCTCTATTCTCACCCGGGGTGAGAATAGTGCAGGCGAGTCTTTTGGCTATTCTCACCCCGTGCGCGTTCACCGTATAAATAGCCTAGCCTAGATCTAGGCTAGGCACCTGGTTTCGTCTCAAATACAAATACTTTAGGCACTGCACACTAAAAATTTATATTCACAATTCAGTTGGCCTATTTTTTTTTAATGGTCAGTCTAGCCATCATATTAAGAAAGTACAGTCTAGCCGTCATTAAGTACGGCTAGCCTCTTCCTATATATAGAGTCTAGATCTAGATCTAGATCTAGATCTAGATACTAGATATATAGTATAGAAATGAAAGTGGCTATTCTCACCCGCCCGGAAGTTCTCGCAAGATCAACTCCTCCCCTCTTCTCTCTCTCTCTCTCTTTCTGAATACTGTCTATCGGTGTGGACGATCAAATTGACCAAAATAAAGTTAAAAAATGATGTTAAAACACAAAAGTAAATTAATTTGGTTGTCTACAAAGATGCTACGGCTATTTAACTTTTCGAATCGAGCCGAACTACGCGGGTCGCCATTTTGTTTTGCCCGGAAATTCTCGCGCTAGCCTACTCCTCTCTCTCTTTCTCTCTCTCTCTCCACTGCCCACAGACAAAATTGTACGCTTTTAGTAGGCTACAGTTGTAATGGAACGTTTGTTCACGGCACAGAATTCTACAATTTTTCTGTTATCACAGTGTAGAATTCTGTGGTTTAGGGTGAACGCACACCGGGTGAGAATAGCCACAAGACTCGCCTGCACTATTCTCACTCCGGGTGAGAATAGAGGTGGACTCATACAAACAATTACGGTGCTTTTTCGGTAGTTCCCACCCCCCTTATTTGAGCCTGACCTACATCTAGATCTAGATTATCTATATCTAGATCTAGATCCAGATCTATACTTTTGATTCGCGATGAGCTAAGATATCAAACCTAACAATAGCAAAACATTAAATTGTGGTAACATGCCCCCCTGAAACCCCCCTTCCTATTTTTGTTAGGTATGAAACTCATGCAAACACTGTCAGTCACTTCAGACTTCAGTGACTACACTGTTCAAAACTTACCGATGCGGCAAATGTGGCAAATGTTTACTTTCAGTTCAGTTAGGTAGGCCTATCATTCAACAAGTAACCAGTAGGCCCTAGGCCTAGTATTTATAAGGTTAGGGCTTAGAGTAGTGCCCCTTGCTGACCAGGAAGTTGAGCCCATTGGCTGATAATAGTGATTAGTGATGATAAGACCGAAAATGCTCAGTGCATTGGTCAAGAACGAACGACCTTTGTCAAAACGTGCTAAGTGCTAAGATACTAGGCTAGATCTAGATCTAGATATCTAGATCTACTCTGCCACTCTTCCGGTTCGAAAGCTCCGGGATTCGGAAGAAATGATCCAACCAAAGTCAAAGTGCATATTTATTATTTGTACATATTGTACTCTCTCTATCTCTCCCCCTCTCTCTTTTTCTCTCTCTCTCTCTCTCTCTCTCTCTCTCTCTCTCTCTCTCT